TAAACTTCTTTTAGTTCCAGAGGGTCTTCACTAATTCATGGGGGCCCCCCAGGGGCCCTTGGGGGCCCCCCGGGGGCCCCCGGGGGCCCCCCGAGGGCCCCTGCGGGCCCCTCGGGGGCCCCCGGGGGGCCCCCCAGCTGCAGCTGGCAGCTTCTTAAAATGTCGATGGTTTCGTTGTGCTGCAGTGCCTCTTCAACCCTGAAAAGAAAATTAAAAAGTTTCATTAAATCAAAGTTTGGATTATTTAAAGTTGATAAAGTTTTTTATTTTTGTTTGAATTAAATCTTCATTTTATTTTGCTGTTTACTGCAAAGTTGACCAAAGGGAGGGGGTCCAAGGTGACGAAGCTGCACACTTTTGTTAAATGGCTAGCTAGCTAGCTAGCTAGCTGGCTAGCTAAACGGCCGGGCAGGTAGCTAGCTATTTAGCTAGCTGTCTAAATGGCTGCATAGCTACGTAGCTAGTTAGTCATCTGAAATCCTTGGTGGGCATTTAGCTGGCTAGCTGTCCAAGTAGCTAGCCACCTATCTAGCTAGCCATTTAGCTAGCTAGCCACTTAGCTAGCTAGCTATTTAGCTAGCTAGCCGCTTAGCTAGCTAGCTATTTAGCTAGCTAGCCATTTAGCCAGCTAGCCATTTAGCTATCTGGCTAGCTAACTAGGTAACTGCTTAGTTAGCTGATCACTGATCTAGCTTTCAGCTTGCTTGCAGATAACTATCCAGCTAGCTAGCTAGCCGGCCAGCTAGCTAGCTAGCTACCCAGCTACCTAGCTAGCTAGCTACCTAGCTGGCTAGCTAGCTAGCTGCCTAGCTGGCTAGCCACCTAGCTACCTAGCTAGCTAACTAGGTGGCTAGCTAGCTAGCTAGCTGGCTAGCCACAAGATGCGGCATGTGGCGCTGCTATTATTTTTTAGTCTAAATTCGATTCAGTTATATTTCTTTTAAATCTTACATGTTCGCGACTTTGGAAAAGAAAGTTTGAAAACTTTTCCGAGAAGAAGCAGCCAGTGCGCCAGGCTTCCTCTGCAGCAGCAGCAGCAGCAGTAAGAGCAGTAAAAGCAGCAGCAGTAAGAGCAGTAAAAGCAGCAGCAGCAACAGCAGCGGCAGCAGCAGCGGCAGAACCGGTAGCAGCTGCAGCAGCAGTGGCAGCAGCGCGGCAGCAGCAGAAGTAGGGTTTAGGGGTTAGGGTTTAGGGTTTAGGGTTTACAAGGAAGGAGTCTGCGTCGTGTTGAATCTCTTTTGTTGCAGGGGCTTCTCCTGCTGCTTGAGTGCTGCAGTCTGCTGTTGCTGCTACAGCTTGCACCCCAAAGTCCAGTTCTTGCTTCACATCCACGCACAAAGAGTCCTGAGCAGCAACAGCAGCAGCAGCAGCAGCAGCAGGAGCAGCAGTAACTGCTGCAGTAGTAGCAGCAGCCGCAGTGGCAACAGCCGCAACAGCAACAGCAGCAGCCGTCACAGCGGCAACAGCAGACGCAGCAGCAGTAGCAGCAGCCACAGCAACAGCATCAGCAGCAGCAGCAGCAGCGGCGGCAGCGGCAGCAGCAGCAGCAGCAGACCTTGGGCGCCTTGAGTGCTAGAACTCTGTCAGCAAATGGGTGAAGGTTGATGGAGTCTTTAATGTTTTCTTTTTTTTTGACAAAAGATATTTTAATTGGAATTCTTTTGCTCTTAATGTTCATGGCATCCACTTCTGCTGCTGTTGCTTCTGCTGCTGCTGCTGCTGCTGCAGACAACTCGCGCGGAGTCACAGGCAGCTCAGCCTCCTCCTCCCGCTGCTGCTGCTTTGCTGCTGCTGCTGCTGCCAGGAGCTCAGCAGCAGCAGCTTCCCCTCGTGCTGCAGCAGCAGCAGCTCGCGCCTCTTCCAGTGCCTGTGGGTAAAATATTATTTCAAATAATTAGTTAATATTTTCATTTATTATTTATTATTTTTTTTTATTTTTTATTTTTTATTTTTTATTTTTTATTATTTGTTATTTATTATTTATTATTTTCATTTTTATTTTTTTTCAACTGCATTATTACCTTTATTGCTCTTCCTTTTGAAATATAATTTCTATTTTTGTTTTTCTTTCAATGCAAGTCTTTGCTTTCATTTAACTTTTATAATTGCGTTTAGTGCCGTTATTATTTATTTTTATTTTTGCATTTATTTTTTATTTTCTAATTTTAAAAATAAATGCAAAAGAGAAAAGGTGAAGAAGTGAAAAGCAGCAAAAAGAGCTGCAGCAGCACCCGAGTGCTGCAATCCATTTACTTTTTATTTTTTAAATTAAAATTTTTCTTTTTGTCGGATTAGAAAATAGTAGTTTTGAAAAACAGAAGAATTAAATCGAAGTCTGAAATGCTGAGTGCAGTCTGTGGTTTGCAGCTTTTTTCCTGGGCTCTCGGGACTAGGGTTTAGGATTTAGGGTTCAGGGTTTAGGCTTTTGGGTCATGGGCTTGGTTTTGGGTCTAGGGTTTAGGGCTTGTCATTTTACCTTTATCTTTGAGAGCTTAGCTTCTAGGGCCTAGCTTTTAGGGTTTAGGGTTTAGGGTCTCGGCTGGAGGGTGGACAGCTTGGGTTTTCGGGTTTAGGGTTTAGGGTTTAGGGTTTAGGGTTTGCCTGGGCAACGGCTTCGCTTGCGACTTGTGTAAAAGGCAGCAAAAAGTTCCCGCCATAGTTTCTTTGATCATCTCTCACAAGAATAATTTCATCAAGAGGAGAGGCCTTTAAAGAAAAAGCGCAAAAAAAAAATGGAGTGTACAGACAGCTGGGGGCCCGCTGGGGTGTCTGTACACCTCAGCAGTTCACGGGGTGTACAGACAGCTGGGAGGCCGCTGCAGTGTCTGTACACCGCAGCAATTTAGGGTTTGGAGTTTCTCGAAACCCTAAACCCTAAATTGTTGGAAAACAAACTTTTCTTTTTTTAAACTCGCCTTTATTATCGACTTGTGCTCACTCCAGTCGGAGTCTTTTCCTCTTTTTGAAATCTCTTGAAGTATATTCTTTTTCGAAAACGTTTTAAAGGGTACTAGGGGCCCCTCGGGGGCCCCCCCCGGGGGCCCCCCTTGCGGGTCCTTCGTAGGGGCCCCCTGGGGGGCCCCCTGAGGGGCCCCCTGGGGGGCCCCCAAAGCCAGTAAACCCATTCTTTTTAAGTTTTGCTTTCTGATGTATATTCCCATTATCCCGTCTATTCCGGGAGCAATATTTAATTTGAGAGTCCTGAAATAAAAATAAAAATAATTATAAATATAAACATAAATATAAATATAAACATAAATATAAATATAAATATAAATATACATATAGACATGAATATAGTATACATATAGACATGAATATAGGTATAAATATAAATATAAATATAAATATAAATATAAATATAAATATAAATATAAATATAAATATAAATATAAATATAAATATAAATATAAATATAAATATAAATATAAATATAAATATAAATATAAATATAAATATAAATATAAATATAAATATAAATATAAATATAAATATAAATATAAATATAAATATAAATAGTAGTAATAGTGATTTAAAAAGTAAAAGTTGGAGAAGTGGTGGAGCTGTTTTGGCGCAAAAAAAAGTGAATAAAGAATCATTTGGGCTTTTTATTTATTCTTTTTGTTTAGTCTTTTTTTAAAATAAATTAATAAATGAAATAAATAAAAAAGCAAATAACTGTTTTTTTGAAAATCTTTAAAACCCTTTTTTGTGGTTTGGGTTGCCAATTAAAAAAAAACATCGCTTAATTGGATTTGAAATGGAATTGTATCTTTAGTTAACTTTAAGTTAAATTAACAATTGAAAAACTATGATTGTAATTTAAATCGTAATTATTGTACTTATTATAATTATTATAATTATTATAATTATTATAATTATAACTTAAAATTTAATTTTCAATTTAATTTCGAAACATTTTTTTAGTTGCAACAAAATGCTTTCCGGAAGCCCGTGAGCCCCAAAAGGTAGTTTTTGGAAATTAAAAACACAAATAAATTAAAATAATTAAATATTTGCAATTTTGAAACATTTAATTTAATTATTTCAATTAAATAGAATTGAATCCTTTAAAATTGTTAAATAAAGTGGAAAAGAGAAGGAACTTCAACTGCATGCATTCGCTAATTCGAGAAAATTTGAAATAAATTATTCCTAAATTTTTAATGTTTAGTTTCTAATTTTAAATTTAAAATAATTTATTTTTTTAAATGTTGAATTGCAAACTTCTGACCACTCGGGAGGTTCTTCTGTTTCATTTTCTGTTTTTGTTTTTGTCTCTCCGTCAGTTTCTTCATTTTGATCTTTTGTTGAACTTTCTCCTTCATCAACATCTTCTGCTGCTGCTGCTGCTGCTGCTGTTTCCTCTGCTGCTGCTGCCGGTGCTTCTGTTCCGGCTGCTGCTGCTGCTGCTGCTGCTGCTGCTTCAGGGTCAGTTTCTGCCGGCTCAGACTCAGCTTCCACTGCTGCTGCTGCTGCTTCTGCTGCGTTGTTTGACGCTGGGGATTCAGCAACAGTTGTTGCTGCTGCTGCTGCTGCTGCTGTCTCGGCTGCTGCTGCTGTTCCCTCGGTTGTTGCCGCTGCCGCTGCTGGATCTTCCTGCTGCTCTGCTACTGCTGTTCCCGTTGTGTCTGCCGGCTCCGCTGCTGCTGCTTCTGTCTCTACTGCCGTTGCTGCAGCTGCTGCTGCTGTTTCTGGGCTGGTGGGCTCGCCCTCATCCTCCCCTGGGGTTTCGGGTGTATGTACACCTGACGAAACTGAGTCTGAGAAAGTCGCAGTGGGACTTTCAATGCCACTTTGACTTGTTCCTTCTTCAGGTGTAGCAGCTGCTGCTGCTGCTGCTGCTGCTGTTGCTGCAGCTGGTTCTTCTGTCACTAGGGAGGGGGGGCAGGCCCCCTCTGCGTTTTCCATGGTTGTTGTTAAATTTTTGTCTCTTCAAATTGTAATTATTTAATTTAAAATTGGAAAAATTAACAAAATGATAAAACCAATGTACTTTTTCGTGCATTCCCGTCGCCGAATCGAGGTGACCGGGTCCCCGGTGACCTCGTGAGCCCTAGCCTAGCTGCTGCTTGGTGCATGCAGCATATTTTCTCTTCTTTTAGGGACAAAATAATATCTAAAAGAATTATAAAACAAAGCCTTTTTGATTTGGTCGAACAAACCTTCCTAAGCATTCCAAACAGCCATTTATGTTCAGCGCGTGGCTGGCCTCCAGTGTACATACACTTCAACTGCGTGCCTTTGCTCAAGGACGAAAGCAACAGATTTCTCCCTCGGGTAAAATCAAAACAAATAATATTTCAAATTAATAACAATATTTAAAAGTATTAAATTGAGAAAACGAGCAATTTAGGAGCTCTCGAAGACACAGGCACCAGTCATGACTGCTGGTGTGCATTTCTGCGTGTGTCTCTACACTGCAAATCAGGCTCTTTGTCTCATAACTTGTACAAATCCATTCAAACAAACTATTTAATATGCATGAACAAGCAAATATAAACAAAGGAGCTCATGAATATTGTGCATCTCCAAATTATAGAGTCTGCAAATGCTGCAAAGGCACTTCAAAGAAAACTTGAACAAATTCATTTGGCTGGTTGAGACGAAAAACACATATGCCTTAAAGTCTACAATTATAGGAAAGTTTCCATCCGCAATTATATTCGAGTTTATTAATTGCAGGGAAATCTTTAGCCGCACATCTCTTTATCTTTTCTGCATGCTTTTGAGTTTTTGAAAAAGTTTGAGGCATAATAAATTTATATTTACTGCCTTTGCACGCCTTTTTTTCTACTTCTTTGTTTTCGCGAAGGTTTATTTTAGACCGAACTTCTGGCCCTATGTTTTGCACATATTGCCTTTGTAAATTTGCATTACCTATATGTGCAGATTAACGTGTATATATATATATATATGTAGATAATATAGATGTTTTATTTTCATAAATATAATTTGAATATATATAATATATGTATGCGTATATATATATAGTTTATATTTGCATATAATAAATCTTTGTTTCATATTCATGCATTTGCGTTTACCTTTACATTTCTATCATTGAAAGTGTAATAAACGAAGTAACTGTACGTACAGTCTGTGCATAATGCAAATACACTTTTTCCCTTTTTTTGTAAATTCTTTTGCCAAAGGCTTTCCTGAAAAGCATTCAAATGCAGACATAGAGGAACAAAAAACGGAAGCTGGCATTATAAACAGAAAATATAAATGAAAACTGAATTAGATAAAGCAGCAGCACGAGGGAAGATACAGCGAAGCGGGTGTACATACAGCCCAGTGTACGTACAGCCGAGGAGCTTAGGCTGAACAAATATATTAAAAAAATCACAAAATAGTTCAATAAATTGATTAAATAAAGTTTTAATTGTGCAAATAACTAAAGGACCGGTGCATATATAGACAAGTAGAATTGGGTGTTAATACAATGAAATAAGATTCAGGTTTGGATGTACGGACAGCAGCTAAGCAGCAGCAGCAGCAGCTACTGTTGTTGCTGCTGCTGCTGCTACCTGGCATGTGTCAGAGAAGGCTAAAGCTGAAGCCCATGCATGCATGCATGCATCAATGGTCTTTCGTTTATTATTAATCAAGACTTAAAAGAAGACACAAATATAAGTGTCGAAATAAAAAAGTTACTTTCATCAAATCTACTTTTCTCTCTACCTGCTTTAAAAGGGAAAAAAATTGCAAATGAATGTAATGGAAAGAGCAGTTCAGGGAACATTCTGCTGGCTGCTGGAGAGTGCTGCTGCTGCTAAGTAAAGTACTTTGCAGGAGTGTTTAAAACCAGAATTTAAGCTAATTGTTAGGCTTTTGTTGCGTAGGGTTTAGGATTTAGGGTCTAGAGTTTGTTTAGGGTTTAGGATCACATAACTGTGCATCAAAGGGTTGCCGTATGAAGACGCTGTTGCATTTAAGTGAGTTGCAGCTCATAATTTGTTTCTGGTTGCTGTAAAAGGGTTTGAGCCCGCGTTTAGGGTTTAGGGCTGAGGGTTTTGAGTTAGGCTCTAGGGTTTGGGATTTCGGGGTTTACTAATGAGGGTTCATCATAGAGCAACCCTCATTATTCTTGCTCTCAGCAGCTTCAAGAGGGATTTAAAAAATAAATTTATTTTATAAATGCAAAATATTTGTGAATTTTCTGTTTCAAAGCCACTGAGGAAAAATCAGTGGTCTGTGGTTTGGCCTGAGCGGAAGGCGCGGGCATGTGTATTCCAGGGCTTTGCGTTTTCGCCTTCTTTAAACACTTCTAAGCAGCAAATCTTCATTTTGTAAACATTACAAACAAATGTAATACTTTCAAAACATTATTAAGTGTGCTCAATGGGATATTTCTTCGTTTTCGGCAAAGAGGAACCCTCTGCGAAGGTGACCCTGCGATGGACAGGCGGCGCACCGTGCACATGCGATTTCTTGCGCAGTTTGAACTCCAGGCTTCTAAATATATTCAATTAAAGCAAATCTGTGCATTATCGGGATAATAATTTGATTGTTTATGGGCGAGAAGCGGCGAAAATAGCCAATTCTGGGCTGGGGTTCGGCGCACGGCGCAGTGCGTCGACACTCGCGAAACCTTTTCTCCCCTGCATGCATTTGTTTCTTAGCTATTTTTCACCTTTAGAAAATACATAAACTTTTGAAAAAGGAACAGGACTGTAGAAGGGAGCTTGAAAGACTTAGGCGGCGCTGTTTTGCGGAAAACTTCGCCGCGGCATTCTCGGGAGATAAAGCATTTATTTTGAAGCAATTTTTAGGATATAAAAAGAACTGAACACCAGCTCGCAGAGCTGCAGCCGGGCTGGCCACGGCCAGGCTCATTTTCCGTAGATTTCCATGGTCATTCTTGTGTTGCTGCTGCCAAAACAATGGGAAACTCTTGCTGCTACATCACTCACCAAGAGCCGGTAGGTTCCGTAGGACAAAAGAAGCATCCTCTTCATCTTTTCATCTTTAGTTTCCCGCAATATAGTTCAAATTTTGTAGCGGCATATGACTTTTACAAGAGCCTGTGTTGCTGGATACACGTACAAGGCATTACCTATGGGGTCCGCCCCAGAAACACTTTTATGTTTAGAAAATCTATTTCAAACATAAAAAGTTCTTTTGCACTTTCTTGGGCAAGAACATTTTATGTTTTAAATATATTCCCTCAAAGAAGGCTGGGCTAGCAGCCAGAATAGTAGAAAGATCTTCTGCAGACTCTGCCACTGGATGCGCAGATGTTGGATTCGTTATGAAGTCTTTAGCAACTAGTCCAACAAAGCTCTACGAGTAATCAAGCTTTGTTTGTCCTCAAAGTAGCATTATTTTGCAGAATTACATGGCATTAATTCGCACAGCTATATAGAATTAATTTACGCCGGTCGAAGTAAACTTAACTTGCGAAAGCTCAATGCAGCCTGGCGGCGTTCTTAGCCCGAGGGACAGCACACCTGGAAAATTTCTGCAGAGTTCAAAATTGCTAAATGGCTGTTTTAATTTACCAAAGAATGAGTTGGGATTTGTTGGGCTGCTTTCAGGGCAGTGAAGCTGCTGTTAAGCAATTTATGAAGCGCATGGAAGCTGAGGGCATCCCCATTCAAGTCGTTTTGCAGGTTTGGCGAAAAGCAGAAGTTGCTATGTAGTCTGAATTCTAGCAGCACTTACATTTATAAAAGTCCATTTTAATTCCTGGCCTCCTTTAATAAAATATTCTTTTACTTTGCGGCGCTGCTTGGCTATTCAGAATGGTAAGAATATGGCTTGCACTCTCCACTTGGACACTACGGCCCGTTCGCTGAGGCTCCGCAACGGTGTAAGTTTGCTTTAGTGTTTTTTCTCTATTTCACCACATAAATGTCACTGAAGCTCCATTCCAAAGCTAGTGTACAGCCTACTCCACTGTTTCCACTCCCCAACTGATGCAATGGAAGCCTTTAGGAAGCAACTAGATGATTCTAGGACTGCTTTCGCGGAGTTAATGCTTTCATAGCACTATGAAATGGTGAAGTGATAAGGGATGGAAATTTGCAATGAGATGTGGCTCCAAAGGTTCTGCGAACGCTCAGGAAAAATCGCGCTGGGTGCCATTCAACACAGTTAAGAACATTCTAACAACCCCGCAGCAGCTCGCGCGAGTGGAAACCCAGGGAGATTTTGCCCAAGAGCCTTTGTAAGCTTTCTCTCCTTTAATTTGGCTTACCAAAACATGCAAGTATGGCAGTCTGCAGAGGCTAAATACAAAGTTTCTGCGCGGTTAGCGAAAGCCCTCAAGCTGAGTAGTAGCAGTTCTGCAACATGGTGCATGCAGGGCAGTTGGCCTTCATATTTCCAAAACGGAAAGCTGTATTCCGCTGCTTTTGGAAAACGAAGCAGACAAGTGTAACTTTGTGGAAATGCTGAAGTCATTTGGGATACATCCACACAAGTCCAAGAAGTCGGAGGCGAGCGAGGACCGGCAGAACCAGCCAGTTGAATCCCATGCTTCCTAAAAAGGAGTTGTTGGCGAGCTTAAAAGTACCTTAAGCTTGCTCCTTTGTTTTGCTGCTGCTGACTAAATGGCCCGAAAAGCAACACTAGAGCACTGTGTTCAGTAGCGCTAAATTAGCGCGATTTTCCGGGCTCTGTGAAGGGCTACCAACCAAATCAGGTTTTCTTCCCTTTAATTCTTGAGGACCTTTGTTGCCTTGTCCAGACTGCATGCTTTGAAGTGAGAATTCAAGTAATTGGTGAACTCTACGAGTTTCTGAGGTGGCACGTAGTCCTCTGTTTTGGGGGCTATGTAAAGTCCCAAGTGATCGGGGAAGCGGTAGAAAGCATACGATAAAAAGCTATAAACCGGATGCAACAGGTTTAGCTTGAAGCGCAAAAGCTAAGGTTGTATGAGGAAGCTTCTTTGTAAGTCAAAT